ATCGAGCTGATAATAACAGTAATTGTCACTTAGTACGTTACAGTGCCTTGTTACCTCTTCGGGCCCATTTACGTCCAGAGTTATAACATTTCGGGTCTGTTTTTGTTTGTTCGAGGGTTCCTTTACCCCGACTTCTTTTTCCCCTGTTTAATTAAAGCATAGACTTTTAGTCCAGGCGCCTGGTAGCTAAAAATGAGGCTACCTGGAATCTCCGTTACACAGCGATTTTTTTGGCTTACTTTATGTTTTTTGGGTCGCTGAATCCGAATCTGAAGTTTCCTACCGCGTATCTGGTGAGCATTTTCCGCCATTTTGAAAAAATGGCCTAAAAAGGCCTTTTTGCGGTTTTTTTATATAGCGGCTACGCATGAGAGAAAGTCCCGGATTTAGTTAATGTTTTGAATAGCTGACATAATTTGGAAGAAAATGGTGTATACATATGCTAGGATTGCTCAAAAATTGAGGAAGATACAGCATCGTGAACATCGCGCCCATTCACGTTTTCGCGGCGCATGAGTCAACGCGCGATCCGGCTCGCCGCGGTCAGCCAAGTTCCGAAGCGTCCCAAAGTTCCGAGATCCTCAATTTTTGAGCAATCCTAGCATATTTGTATACCATTTTCTTCCAAATTTTGTCAGCTATTCAAAGCATTAACTAAATCCGGGACTTTTTCTCATGCGTAGCCGCTATATCAAAAAAACCACAAAAAAGGCCTTTTTAGGCCATTTTTCAAAATGGCGGAAAATTCTCACCAAATACGCGGTAGGAAACTTCAGATTCGGATTCAGCGCCCCAAAAATCATAAAGTAAGCCAAAAAAATCGCTATGCACCCAAAATTCCAGGTAGACTTACCAGGCGCCTGGACTATACATTGAATTGCGACTCGTGTGAGAGTTACGAGAAGCAACTCAATGAAGAAAATAGCATAATTCGAAAAAATCTTTTTTCAAAATAGCGTTTTTAGAGACTCTTCTATGTTTCCAATCGCGCTCGTTGCACCGAGAGCGGTTGCGAAAACGCTGATGCCAGTAAACACAAAGAAAAACCGACCGAATCCATATTGCCTCATGCCGGTTTGATTGAGAACGAGTACGATGCGGTTGGGTTTGAATGGCAAACCGAGCTTGTGCAGGCAGTCCCAGGACCAAGAGACATATTGTCAGAGGGCATGCAGACCAGAGACAACGGACGGAAAATGACCCAAAACTGGAACCAAACATTTCAACCTGGTGTATGGGGGCAAAGTTCCGCGCAAATGGATTCTCGAGCACACAGGGTGTCCCAGGAAATACTAAGACAAAACCGAGAAAATCAAGCTTAGCAACAAGAAATGTTTAGAGCTCAGCTGGAGGCGATGAGAACTTTGAGCCAATCCATAATGGAATGGAACCAGTTGAAAACAGGATCTAACGTTCCCCGATCAGCAGAAGGATCAATAATTTCTATAAAGGCACCCCTCTTCAAAAGACTTCTCAAGGGTGAAAGTGACTATGAGATCAGAGACTTTTTGAAAGACTTCGAAACACGCTACCGCAAGTGTTCGGATCAAGAAAAGCGGGGTCAGCTCAGGAGTCACCTAGGATAACGAGCCGTGCAGTATTATGACAACGAGGAAATAGTAGAGTACCTACAGAGGGAGAGTATGGACAACTCGAAATATGTAGCTCTTGGGGCCCAAAAGGGTAGGTAACCTTTGAAAACGAAAAATGTCACTGTCATTCTTTAGACTCCAATATCAAACGAAAATGGACGAGAAAATTCATGAGTAAGCATTCTTCCGCAAAAATGAGTAAGTTTATGCAAAAACCAAGTCAAATACGTGCTTTACCAACGACAGTTCCGAACAATTGTGATTATAAATCACTCTGGAAAATTTGAATTCATGGATTGCCTACCCTTTTGGGGTCTAATGAGCTCCATCACCTAGCCTCAACATTTTCGACATGTCCATACTCTCCGTATGTAGGTACTCTAGGAAATACTCTTTTCGTCCCACTGTGTGGCGCGCACGGTTTGAAACGCACAGTAGCACCTTACTAGACCGCAGAATACTTCATGCATTGCTCGTGGGGCACGCAACTCATAGTATAGCGCCTTACAACTCTGCAGGATACTTCATGCATTACGCGTATACTACGGTGCGCGCTCAAATCGGTGAAAAGTCGTATTTTCTTGGTGTCGAACCCCGGTGAACAACATTTTGAATAGTACACACCGAGAGTTTACATATGTAGGATCACAGGATTGTAGAGATTTTGTAATCCTGTATGCTTTCCGGTGAATATAATAATATAATTTACGAGTGGAAATTTTTCAAGTTGAAATGCTGTTACGGTCTATCGTCCGGAGAAAAAAGTTATTTTTGAAACGCCCTACTGTGTATTTCATGACTCATCAAACTCTATGCAAGAACACCTCTCAAACTTATAGATATGCTCGGGGGGGAAATATAAAAGAATAGTCGCATTTTGGCAAATTATGATGTTTATTTCGATGAAACAATCTGAACAGTTAACCTATTAGATTTGACAGGAAAAGTTTTCTGTTTGCTAAAAGAAAAACAGAAAATCTAAAGGAAGCACTAATTGCAAAACTGGGAATAGGTATCTAAAAAAACCTATTAAAATACGTAATTTTTTCGGAAAGTATAGTTTTTTAGTTCATGAATTCCATACATGATAGTATGCCGTGCTTTTAAAAGTGATTGAAACAGGAGTCGTTGAAACATCTAAGAATACATTTTTGGAATTTAAAAACCGACGGCTAAGATTTCCGCCTCGTAGTCCGTGAGACCATTTTATTGAACAGACATTTCTTTACTATTTCATGGAGCATTGCAGCCTAAAGGACTCGTCATTAATTTCCACTGAATTTTAAAAGGAATAAACTAAGAAAAATAGTTCACCTATCAGAATAATTCAATAAAATATTGACCATTTAGCCGAAAAATCATTAGTCATCAAAATAATGCAAACTAATTTCCTGATTTGTATTTGCTAATGAATGATAAGCCAATAAAAATTCGAATAACTATCGATCAGCAGATGTAAATGGCACTTCAAGACAAGAACGCTGAGCCCTTAAGGACTCGAAACAAGTGGTCCTCGTATCTATACAGTTGCAATACTTTTGTTCATTTAGATATAAGGTTAGATAATCGGCATTCATTATCATTTCCTGTTTTCCGCGGTTGAATATGTTTTGGCAAGGAATACGCGCACATGAAAACTTGTAAAAAAGTTTTCAAAAATGATAAAATAAAATGTCTTAAAGTTGCAATAGAATTAAAGCCCGGAATAAACAAAAAAAATCAGAGAAAAACTATAAGTACAAGACTAAGAAAATGTATAATATTTACAATAGCCATAAGGGTATGCCTTTGAAGAGGTAATATTAATCAAATCTATATGCGCATTAATCGGTACGTTGACTCCAATTCGAAGTCGCTCACAAGAAAAATATAAATAAATAAATAAAACTACGGTAAATAAATAATATTCTATGAATATGATAAAGGAAGACTGAAAATTGAAGAGCATACATAAATTAGCTGTAATTTTTACAAAGAATCGAATTATCAACAGCTCTAAACAATCAATTTTTAAATTGAAAAAAATGGACACAAGTTATAATTCACCTATATAGTAACTAATTTTATAGCACATAGACACATCTAATGCGAATTAGAAATTCAGAATTTTGATATGATACTTTTTCTCGTTCATCTATTTTTTTTTTAATGTTGTATAATCGACTCATTTAGTTGCCGGTCCTTTGTTTCGTTAAAAAATTCAATCAAAATGGCTTTATAATGGTTTTAGAAACACCAAACGATGTGTTTTATACGCAATATTCATAAAAACAAAACTCGCAGTGATAGGCCCTTACAAAACAAGGTAGGTAAAGTAATGTCACAAAGAAATAGACATTCTACGGCGGTCGTTGTTTGCAGTTGAACGCAGTGGCGTGGCGTGCTTTGCGATGTATCGATTGGTATGCCAGTTAAACCTATAGAAAAAGATCGATAAACAGGGTGTTCGCAGCGAACACCTTAATAATCGATTCTTTGCTGTAGGTTCAAATGGCAGAACAATTGATACATCGCAATTCACGCCACGCTGTGATTAAACGCGATTAAATGAAAAAACATTTGAATTTCTCGGAATTATGTTTCCAGTATACATTCGTCATTCATTCCTAAAAATAACTACAAAAGCCCTCCTTATCAAAAATGAAACAGTCAACAGATAATCTATGAAATTGAATACTGATGGAATATGTGCAAAAGATCAATTTTTCTTCCATTCTCAATTGGATCAGAAACATTTCTAAATCCAACATTGATTGCAAGAAAATTATAGGAACCATAAAAGTAAATAATTTAAAAATCATTACTTTACATTTTAAGATCACTAGCTTATAAAAAATCAATAAATAATTTACTAAAAATAAGAAATATGGTATTTTGGAGGCAAAAAATATCCTAAATTGGACAAACATCAAATGAATATTGGTCCAAAAGCATGTGAAATATTGATGAGACACGCTTATTACAATTACTACAACTACGATTCCTCACGATCGAACGATTCTAGAACGAACGGTAACAAGAAGGCACTTTAAAATGTACGTAAATTGAAGATTTCAATGAAGTCTTTGGATAGGCACACCAAGTTTATTATGAAAAATACATTAATAGAGGTGATTGGAAAATAAACGTAATATTGGGATTGACCAACCGAATAGTGGCGGTATAATTAAAAAGCAATAGGTTAAACGTATGTACTTACAGAAAATTGTTTAAGTATAGTCTACAGATATTCCATTTTATCCATTGGATTCCCTTCGACTCACGAATATGGAAATTCATTTTGTGTAACTGTAATTATACTTCAGGAGAAAATATTACAGTCTAATTTTTTTTTTTTTTTTTTTTTTTTTTTTTTTTTTTTTTTTTTTTTTTTTTTTTTTTTTTTTNTTTTTTTTTTTTTTTTTTTTATTTTAACAAGGATCTTGTACACCAAATTGTCGATTGCTAAAATATAACATCAGCCTTTTGATACCGGTCGTAATTATTGAGGGTTTTTGTGTCAGTGGCGTGGCGAGCTTTGCAATATATCGATTGTTATGCCATTTAAACCTATGGAAAAGGATCGATAAACAGGGTGCTCGCAGCGAAGACCTTAATAATCGATTTTTACCATAGGTTTAAATGGCAGAACAGTTGGTACATCGCAATTTACGCCACGCCACTGTTTTGTGTATACCTACGAGATCAAAGATTAATGAATCTATTGGTTTTGAATCAAATTTTAAAAAAAAAAAAACTGTTAGCCTTTTTTGGGGGACCGGGATTTCTTAGCCACATTGTCCTTGATTATCGCATTTGCAAATTTTACGAGTAAAATCCCTGGATTATCCTGTATTTTCAGTCGTACCCAAATAATTTACTGCAAGAGTGCGATGGACAGGATTTTTCCGTATCATTCTGATATAGTGGCTACGTCGTAAATTGCGTCCAATGATTTCAATTAAAACAAAGTTTGAACTCTCAGATTCAAATTCAATGTTCTTTATCCTGTATCAAGTTTCCCACGGTTTGATACTACGCAGCAGAATGACTCACGAAAACCCACCTAGATTCTTATCATTCAGCGTCGATAGGTATGTCGGATTCAGTGGCCACTACATCAGTATGTAGAATTATAGACTGTCTCAGTCATGGCGTCTTTATCAGGTATCGACAAAATTAAATAGTACCCAGACAAAATCAAATCGAATCTATAATAATAACGGCAAAATTGAAACGAACAAATAGATACTTAACTGTTGGATTTTCTATCAAATCCGGTATCTATTCATTGAATTCGTTCTCAACAATAAAGTAATCTCTGTATTTGTTACCAATGAATATTTATCGATACCTTCTGAAAAATGTATGCCCTTCCAGGTCAGCGTGTGACGATATCTCCATTTAAAGACGCCATACTGTACGGTCTATTGTTTTGAAAAAAAGGTTAAAAAACAAACAGTAAGTATTAAATGTAAAAAAGATGTGACGTGTCAGGCAAAAATCACTTATCCGTAGCGACAAAAACTTTATGTCAGATAAATACATGCCTAAAGAACTATATTTTAAACTTAAAACACACGTGAAAACCTACATACATATTTACAAACTCCTTTTGAACTCTTCTTATCCTTATTGTCGGTGGTAAAAATAGGCAGTTGCCGTATAAAAGCAATGTTTGGAGTCTCTGTATCCATCATTACTGAAAGTTATGTTCTGTAAGCTTCAATAGCACGTTGACGAATTAAGTTCATCGTGAACTTTTTTTTTCAAAAAGAACTTGCTTTCCTTTGTTTTCACTCTAAAGCTAGACGTTGTTGTTGGATACTATTGTCCTGAAACTATCATTCAATTGCACTCAGGTCAGGACTATTTAAGGGCATTTCCCTAGTGATATTTCACCTACTTTTAATAAAAACCTGCGGGCTTGTTTCCTACCAACAATGACAACCCTTGATTTCTTAAACGTGCGCTCACTTCTATTTCCTTGCATTAAAACAAGTTTCTGTTTTTTTAAACATACAAAACTTCAAATGGTAAGAAAAATATTACTTTTAAATTTACCGACCACTTGATATTATTTTTTACGAATTAATCAAAAAAATATGTATAAACACTAATCAATTTTGTTGTGAGACTTCAATTTTAAGAATTGGATAAGAACATTTCCGAAATCATATAAAATAGAATAAATAACTTTAGAAACTTTCAGCTGAATTTTGATATCGGGGTTGGTTAAAAAATTTGGCATGTCGTGCCCTATTGACATCGAAAGACCATACATTTCTGAAATAGTACGGATTTAAGAGATGAACGTTGAGATTTCAAGGGTTGAAGAAGTTTTAAATAAAGGCACAATGAGAGCGAAATAAACAAAACCGTCAAATTATCCGGGCTTTCCCTAGCCCCGACAAGTTCATTTTCTGATGGAGTCCTAAGGGCTCTGTATATCGTAATCGATTGATCTTGATCGATAAAACTCTTAACGATGTTATAATATATCGACCAAAACCATTCGATGACGTTGCAACGAGGTGCATAAGAATGCTTTTACTCCAGGATTCATCGGATGAACGACATTTTACAATAGGAACTGATTTTGCCTCATTTTGAAAACAACCTCTGTGACACTAGCTTCGTTATGCAGATATGTGCCTTAGTAAATGAGACGAACATGGGAGATCCATACTGGAAAATGAATTTCGGATGATGGAAATGCTGAATTTCAATGGCTCCCGGTTCAAACGCTCATGAGTTTGATAAGTCCAAGCATCCCGATGAGGCACGCAATGGCGTCGATCCTGAACAGTGTGGAGGCTCCGCTGTCGACAAAAGTGTGGGCGTTGTACCAAACCGGGCGGTTTGACAAGGGTTGCACCGGACGGAAATTATGCGTCAACATCCCGTGGTGCGAGTGCAGGGTCCGGAACGTGTGCACCTGAAAATATGTACCGAATTCATTTTAGTCAAAGTGATGAAAAGTGTTTAACCTCGTAAGAGACTTGTACTTCAGTAGGTACTATTCTTGTCAATGAAGAGGAAAAAACATTATTTATGGTCTATTTACTGTACGTAACAGGAGGGCGCAATGTAGCTGCTGTCGACGCCACTCTATGTGGTGGGGGGGGGGGCGGCTGAGGCTGAGGCAAACCTCTAATTAGACGTATTTCTATCAAACGGAACTATGTGCATTATGACGTGAGCCCTGTAATGCACACATTCTTATGGGTCTCAGGGTTCATGTTTTAAGGTACATAGTTCCGTTTGATAGGAATACGTCCAATTATAATAGAAGATTAGAAAAAATAACTCTTATGCGTTTCGGGGCAAACGTAAGAGAAATATTTTCCAGAGAGAGTATCTTGAATCTGCTTTCCCTGGTAAAAATTGGCAGTAGAATCTGTGTTCCAAAATACCATAGACCTACAGCCGGCTGTAAGATTTCCAATAACTTCTATAGCCGGCGACACAATTTCTCATAGCCTTTTATAGCCGATGGAGACCAAGCAACAGCCAGGCGATAAAGTGTATGCTGAACGTTACTAATTAAGGATGCTAGGACTTAGTGAGTTTTTGGACTACCGCTCTCTTTTTGGGCCGTAGTATCTTGATTTATTTTGCGAGGAAAGCTCCGTGCTTTTGAAGGATGCCTACCATTCCTAACATGTTGGAGCGCCTGCAATTTTGTATGATACTGTGCAATACCTCTGGTGTGAAAAAGTTGCTTCAAGCGCCGTGGTACGCTGCGGCGCGGCGCGGCGAGCGGGCAGCCAGCGCGAAACGCGCATTGGCGCCTTCAAACCTAACAGGGATACTTCACGTATTGCGCAATGCGTGAAGTATCCCTGTTAGGTTTGAAGGCGCCAGTGCGCCGCCGCTCCGCTTTGTGTTAGGCTCTAATATTTAATCTCGTGGAGTCAGCGTTTTTCAACTTATGACTTTGAAATGTTAGCACACTCTGTATGGATTCTTCTCATTTTAATTGATGAAAAAAATATGTAGTGAAGGAAAATATAATGTGCGTTTTGTAAATATTAAGCTGATTTCGTACAAACTTAAGGATTTACAAAGCTCACGAATTTCTACACGATTTCTTATAGCCTTTTATAGCCGATGGCGAAAGAGCAACAGCCAGGCGATAAAATGTAAAGCCCGGCTGTATAATTTTTTTTCGCTTCGTGTAGCCCGGCCGTATGATTTTTTCCACTTTCTACAGCCAGCTATATGATTTTCTATCGCCTTCGTCAGTCGGTTATAAGAACTCCTATGGCATTTTGAGACGCAGCTCCTACCGCCAATTTTTACCAGGGATAATCTCCAATTCCAATTTTTTATGCTAATCAGTTTTTTTAAGTAATTTTGCTCTAAAGCCATTGATACACGCATTGATTCCGCAATAGTGTAAGTTTTTTGCAGTTGAACGATTTTGACTCCTATAGGAATTTTCCTCCCCCCCCCTCCTCCACAAAAAAATCTATCATAAATAGTGCGTCTACCTATAATTTGTACTTACTCATGTTGCGCTTTTCAAACTGCGTTTTCCTCGGTGTCGGAGTTGATTTTTCACGTTTTCAACGTGCGCATCGTGTTCTACACGACATTTACCCTGAAGAAAGTTGCATTTGCAAGACAACTTTAATTTATGGTATAATAGCGGCCAATTGAACCATTTTTGGAACTTCTTTGACGTGTTTAAGCCAAAGTATGAGCTTTTAAAGTTTCGACTCATGCTCAATCTTTCTCCTTGACTCGCACCATGGGGCGATTTTGATTTTGAAACTGAATATCCATATGTATCCTTGTTGAACTCGAAAATGACTTACAGTATTTGAAATAAAATACGCCTATGGTTCCTAAAAATGAGATGAGACTTTTTGCAGGTACACCGGCAAAGAGTAAGTAATCTAAAATGCACGTGATACATTGTGATGGTGAAACTAAAGAATCACTACCTTAATTTGCGTTGTTTTTTTATTTTTTTTTCCCCGCAACCTCAATTTCTTACACCGCAATCACACGCTGAATATGGAAGCTGAATGTGGTTTCAATATGGAAGTCATCGGCCCGATGCCTGAATTTTGCGCGTGACGCGCAAAATTCAGCAACGATTCTCAGCAACCATCGGACCAATTTTGAATTTGTCTGAACTATTCGAGTAGATTTAATACACATCTGGATGAAAATAACTCGAATTTGCTAAATTTCAGCCGTTGGGCGATGACTGTTTACTTCCACATTCAGCTGCTAAATTCAGCGTCTGATTGCGGCATTAGACTTGGAGCCATTATCTCTCTTTTAATGCGAATATCCTCTTGTTTTCTACACAAAAGTTTCTGAAATTTCTAAAGTATGTCTGAGAGGAATATGTTTAGAAAAAAATTCGATTCAAATTATGTTTAATTTTATACCAGATGCGCCCTTTCCAGCCGTTCGGGTCTCCGGGTGTAACATGTACTTTAGTACATGACCTTTTGCCTTGTGGGTAACCCCCCATCTGCCTGCCTGCCTGTGTGGCCTGCTTGGAGCCTTTTGAATTAGAAGTCAATTTAATTAGCATTGAGTGACACCATTTAAAGTCCAAAAAGCTGCAAGCTGTGTCTAAGAATTTCAGCCTAATAGAGATACTAACGAAATCAAAATTCGTTTACAGACCCGCACAAGATAAATGATTTTAAATTGCCGGCTCGCAACTCCGGCAAAACGCGTCCGCATTTTAATATTTTTACGTGCAAGTGAGTTTAAAATTTTATTGAACAAATGAAATACCTATATTATACAGAGGTTTTGAAACAGACGTTTATATTCAAATGCTAAAATGACGTGCATTAAATTTTATCAAATTTATTTTCACTGTCAGGAGCTGCATATCAAGATATACATAAAATTTTACAATATATTTTTACTAATTTTAAAAATTTTGGCTTGAAAAACGGTACATGTTATCCACTCAATAAATGCAACGTAAGATATCAGCTCAAAAACACATATTTATTTCAAAATTTAGCGTATAACAGAATTTGGCAAAGCAATATATGAAAAACTTGCGGCAAAATGACCAACACTAGCATCATCCTTGGGTTAGTTGTACAAAGCCAATCATAAAGAGGAACGAAGAATAAAATTTTAAAAAAAAAACGAAAGAAAGAAAGATAGCAGGTATTATTGCAAATAAAATTATCACAGGAAGCTCTTCCGGTTCAAAAATTGTAGTTTCACATTAAAAGACCCATCAATAATGGAAAATTATGTAACAAACAATTGAAGCGCTATCTTGGTAATTTCCATGAGAAAGTAAACAGTAACTTTCATCCCATTTTTTAAAAAAAAAAACTGTTTCAAAATCTTGATATGCGTATCATGCAAATGTTCTGTTTAAATACATAGATAAAAAAGTATCCATTAAAAGCATACTGCGAAAGCACGTAATATCATGCAGTTATTTTTAATCATTAGTGGCGCTGTTAATTTTTAATTCAAACCTTTGTAAGAGTAAGTTATGTGGAAACTTTAGCTTTGAATCTTTATTTAAAGTTTCCTCAAATAAACATTAATTAATAAAAGATAAAAATAAAAAATAAAAAATAAAATAAAAAATAAAAATAAAAAAAACTTACACAAACTGCAGTCTTCCATCAGATTGCACATTTGTGGTTTTCCAAAGAGGAGATCATGAAAATTGACACTTTGGAGGTTTACAAGGAATCGGCCATTTTTTTTCAATATTCGCTCCGGAGAAAATAAATAAATAACTACTGAATATTGACAGCAAGATCTCAAAAGATTTGCTCTTTTTCCGTAGTTTCGACGGTATTGACAGTCACCCAGAATTTTTGTAAGAAGTTTTTTAAGTATGCTTTTTGATCCAACAGTTAACTATTTCAAGTTGAAAGGACTACTTTTAGACAAATCAAAATCATGCGGAGTTCCATGAAAACAAATGTTACTTTTTCAAGAAATGAAATTTGAAATTCTCAACGTTGTGAACCGAGAGACATTGTTTCCGATAAAAAGATGCCCGAATTATCGAAAGATTAAACGACGTTTATAGGTTCAGTTACACGATCAAATTGAGCCATCAAACTGAAGCTCTGATTAGTGGAAAAAGACCTGAGGTGAGAATGCGACCAATGAGAGGCCCAATTTGATGGCTCAATTTGATCGTGTAACTGGACCTTTTCACACAGAAATATAGTTAAAAATAAAAACCAGGTGCGCTGTATACGGAGTCTTTTCAGTAATTTAAGCTACAAACTTTGTAACCCCCCTTCCCTCCTCCAAAAAAAATTATAAGTAGGTACGTAATTAAATATATTACCTCGGAGAATAATATTGGCAGATAATATAGGTCACAGAATATTTATTTTTGTTTCATGGAGAAAGCTGTAAATAATGTGGAATGCAGATTTTAAAGAAAGGTTGAAGCTGGTAACGTAGCTAGTGCCGTTTGCGGTACCAGTTAATCTAACGCCTTCCTCTCACTCAAATACAAATAAACATACATGAAGTCAACCGGCATATGCATTCGAATTGAAGGGGGTCAATGATTCAAACCTTATCCACTTCGCAGTCTAGTTTCAGTTTCGAACATGCGCAAAACATCTAATAAATAAATAGATAAATTATAAACCAAATTCGACGACTTGTCAAAACCAACCAACTGGCAAAGTAAGGACCAAAAAAATTGGACCCTCTTAGTGAAAAAAATATGAGTTAAAATACACTAATAAATACTGCAAACGCAGCAAAAGGCCCTCAACAAAATAAAGTAATACAAAAGTAAGACACCACTAATTTTCCCTTGAAAGAGAGCCATGCTTCATGCAATAATTGGAGTATTAAACATTAGGTCTCTCATTCTATACACTGAATTCGATGTGTGAATTTTAAAGCTATGCCTCAGCGGGTCAATGACATAAATAAAATGGAGATTACCATGGGTAATTCAGATAAATTTACAAAGGATTCACTCATTGGTGTTGCCTTTAGGTTTTGTATTTCTAAAGACAACAATGCTAGTATTGGGACTTGAGAGACTCGCTACTTTGCTTGTAAGTATATTCGTTTTGCACTAGATTTTTCTTCAGTTGGAAGGTAAAATGAAAAATTCATTTCGAACCTTCAACTTTTTGCACCCTCGGAAACTTCAGGCACAAATAAAAAATAAATATATTAATGTAATAAACTTATATTATTTGGCTTTAAATTCCGTTTCACTTCTTGAAAAATGTAGAGGGCAGTTATTGCCTAAACGTTTCTCATCAAGACACGCAGCAATAAATTATCTGTAAGCATAATTTGACTCGGACTAGACTCAGAATATAAGAAATATATTTAATTTGACTTTACCTATAGTTATTTAATTTATTTAATAATAGAATAATTTAATTTTAATTTTATTTCCTTTAAATCAATCAGACCCGCTCCAACAAGTTGATTGCGTCAGTTCAAAAAATGTTTCTCGGTAGCTGCCCTGTTAAAAATTGCCAGTAGAATCTGTGTTCCAAAATACCATACACCTAAAGCCGGCGGTAAGATTTTTTATAACTTCTACAGCCGGATGCACAATTTCTTATAGCCTTTTATAGCCGATGGCGACTAAGCAACAGCCAGGCGATAAAGTGTCTGCTAAATGTTACTAATAACGGATGCTAGGACTTATTGATTTTTTGGACTACCGCTCTATTTGTGGGCCGCAGTATCTTGATTTATTTTGAGCGGAAAGCTGCATACTTTTGAAGGATGCCTGCCATTCCTAATATGTTGGAGCGCCTTCAATTTCGTATGATACTGTGCGATACCTCTGGTGTGAAATAGTTGCTTCAAGCGCCGTGGCACGCTGCGGCGCGGCGGGCGGGTAGCCAGCGCAAAAAGCGCATTAGCGCCTACAAACCTAACAGGGATACTTCAAGCATTGCGCAATGCGTGAAGTATCCCTGTTAGGTTTGTAGGCGCTAGTGCGTGCTTAACTCTGGCAGCACGCCGCTCCGCCCTGTGTTAGGCTCCAATATATAATCTCGCGGAGTCAGCGTTTTTCAACCCATGATTTTAAAATGTTTGCACATCCTGTATGGATTATTCTCATTTTAATTGATGAAAAAAATATGTATTAAAGGAAAATATAATGTGTGTTTTGTAAATATTATGGTGGTTCCGTGTCAAACTTAATGATTTCCAAAACGCACGAATTTCTACACAATTTCTCATAGCCTTTTATAGCCGATGGCGATAAAGTGTAAAGCCCGGCGATAGGAGCTATAGCCCGACTGTATACTTATTTTATCGCTTTGTATAGCCCGGCTATATGATTTGCTCCGCTTTCTACAGCCAGCTATACGATTTTCTATTGCCTTTTTTAGCCGGCTATAAAAATTCATATGGTATTTTGAAACGCAGCTCCTATCGCCAATTTTTACCAGGGTGAAGCTTCTGAGGCTACCGTTTCTGGCCCGTTATGAAACAGGTATTATTTGGAAATCTAAGCTGAGTCAACTAAGTTTCATTGTAAAATTGACTTCCTTTTGCGATAAGGAACTGCTATTTTTGACTCATTTTAAAAACAATGTATGGGCCCCTTCGTTTCCATACGTAGATAGGTGAATTTATGGCTGAGCTAGACTGAAGTTCTTTATTGCAAAATGAAGTTCAAATGTGCATGACGTTGTTTAAGTTTGACGTGCGGTCACTACGTATAGTTATGCATACGGATATTGCGGGTACTGGCTGTAGTGATAGTAGTCGGCATACGCATAGAAAAAGTCGCAGTAATCGGGGAAATCTCTGTTGTACAGGATCACACGTCCGTTTCTAGCTTGGACCGGCCGAAAGTTACTCCGAAGCAATCCAAAATGGGAGTGAATAGTTCGGAATTTCGCTAACTAAAATTGTTCACAAAAAATTAGAGGAAAAGTTAGTACATAATGCGATTCATGCAAAGTATCCTTATATATACACATGAGCAAAGCAAAATGAAGCACTAAGAACAGGACAAAAACTTGCATAACCAGAATAGCGTCTAATTAAAGTAAGCATCATAAGTAATCGGCGACATTTTTCATATCAAGCGGCCAAAAATTTGTGAGTGTCAAATATGTTGTTCCGAATCAAACTTATTCTTAAGACTTTATTTCGCCTGTGGGAATCCCAAACCAACAAATTTAACTATACATATAATTCAAAACTTTCTCATCGGTATTGATTTAAGTTTTTGAAGCTAAATGTTTTATGATGGCCAAATGGATAACTGTACAGGTTTTTTTCATCCTTGTGATCGAATTTCCTCCGTAAAATCTTAAGAATATAATTTAGGCTTTTAAATTTGTGTGTTTTGGATTTGATCAATTTCCATTCATAGTTCTGGTAATATTACGCAAAGGTATTTGGAAACGGAAATTCTTACGATATTTAAATGTCAGTCATCACAAAAAAAAACTCCCCAAATTTTTAAAGAGCAGATTTTTCCTTTAAAGAATCGCAAACCGAGAAACTTAGTATAGAAACGAAAAGCTCTGTTAAAAGAAACAAAATATCTACATCGGGTTAGAAAATTAAATATCATGCCAAGATGATCCATCATTCTGGAAGCATGCTTAGGTACATATACAATCAAATAGCAGGCAATAGCACGTGTGAATCAAACTAATTTCGCACCAACCTGAGTATGGGAAAGTAGAACAGGATGTTTAAAATCTATCCACGTTACGACTTCCAGACAAGGCGGCGTTGTTAGAGATCCTAAATATGAAAAATACCTCTCCGGGTTGCATGGAAGGAGAGATGCAAGGACAGGAACATTTTCTAGGTATTCTTTCTTGTCAGCCTCCGTCACGTCTGGCAGGGCTTTTATTAACGTTTGGTACACATCATTCTCGAACGGTGAGATCTGTAACAACATTATTTCCATTGTCAACAGAATGGACCACTAGACAAGGTACGAATTTAAGCGTTCGGATACATGTTTCTTAACCAGAATTTCACGTAAAAAACGATTCACACAACGAAAATTACGGAAACTAACTCCTAACGAAGATATTGACGTTTTTATTTCACATTGGTTACGAGGAATTTGAACTGCCCGCTCACAAGAAACTCAAAGCTCTACGTGAGTCAAATCGCGCACTACAACGGTTTCAGCAAGCTTCTCAACCGAGCAATGTTCATTTCCCGCCATGTGTTTTTCAAACGATAAGCAATAAATTTGTCATAGCTGAGCCAAAGCGTCAAGATTGAGGTTGCCAGATTTTTATATCGCAGAGACTGTCATGATAACGTTTAGCGCGCGATGTGAATCACATAGAGCATTGAGTTTTCATGAGCGGGTGGTTTGAATTCACGCATCAGGAATCATTAAATATCTTCGTAAGGAGTTGCTTTCGGTAATTTTCGTTGTGCGTATCGTATTTTACGTGAAATTTCGGTTAAGAAACATGCATCAGAATGCTGAAATTTGTACCTTGTCTAGTGGTCCATTACTTGTTTCTTGAGTGGTTTATGCTAGAGTACCTTTATAGACAGACTATGGCCATCTCTGTGCCGGTTTTTCATTGGTCTTGTGAAAATAGAGTGACACGATGTTCTTACGGCCGTAAATAAACAAACAAGATGGCTGTTATCAGCAAGCAAGTTCGAGGTTATGCACATCATCCTCCTGTGATAAAGTCGAAAGGCGATTTAATAGGGTTTTCATGTGTTTTTCATGTGTTATTCGTAGATATGCTGGTTTAAACTGTTAGTGCCGTATAATTGAAATTTTTGTCAAATTTTAGCTTCTTAGCAATGTTAGGGTGAGCCGCCATCTTGTTTGTTTATTCACGGCCGCAAAAGCATCGTGAAACCTAAAAACTCGTTGACCAATCAAAAAGCGGCACAGTTTTCCTGTAGTAAAAAGATACGAATGACCATACTCTGTCTATGAAGGCACTCTAGTTTATGCGAAAGCCTGAAAGAGAGCACTCTGTTGAACGAATTAGACCTTTGAAACGGTTGTAAATCGTTCATACTCGAAGATCTGAGCTTCCTCTTCTGGACCTTTATTGTTCCTCTCGGTGAACGGTGCAAACAGGAGTGTAACTGTGGGCTGAATATTGAAATTGATAGACAAAGCTTTAGACAAAGAATACATAGGGAGTATGGAGCGATCCGATTGGTTGAAACGGATGGTTCTTATAGACTAAGGGGCAAAATTATGGGCTAACTATAAGGTCTCTCTTGGGTTACCGTTTATTAGTCTATTACTTACCTCCTTTATCCGCTGATCCTCTGGGATCAGCGGATTTCCAAAGATAACAAGAGGAGGATATACAACGCTGTAGTCAAAAGTATATTAACATACGGATGTGAAGTTTGGCAGCTGAAGAAACGGACACAGGATATGCTAAGAGCAACGGAGATGGATTTCTGGAGAAGGTCAGCAGGAATTTCTAGGAGAGATCGGGTCCGTAATGATAGAGTGCGTCAGATAATGGAAGTCGAAAATGACATCGTGTTCGACGTCATGACCAAACAACTTGTTTGGTATGGTCATGTCAATAGGATGACGGAAGAGAGGCTGCCAAAAAAGATGCTTGATTGGGTTCCTCCTGGGAGGAGACGTAGGGGACGCCCAGTGAGAGGTTGGCGACAGGGGGTGTTAAATGAGATAAGAGATTGTCAACTCCCTGATGACCTGTGGGAAGACCGAGCTTTGTGGCGATTAGGCGTCGCACAGCGCCAAAGAGCGCTATAAAAGCGACTCGTATATATATATATACTTACCTCCTTTATTCATTACAACCACCTACCTCCACTAATAGGATCCCACCATATCACTTTTGTCCTCTTTATCTATATCTTTGTCCATCAATTTCAATAATCGACCCGCAGGACAGACTCTTGCCTTGATTACATACCTCAAAAACTACGTTCATTTTTTTCTCCCTTCTTTTCTTTAAGAAATATTACTTACTTTGCATTTTTGTTGAATTTTTTATTAATTAAATTTCGGATGATATCTAGCCCAGATTTTGCACCGTTATGATCAATGATCTTCCTTCAAAAATGTAAAGTGTGACTGAGATTATGCTACTTCACAATCTGAGATCGACATTCGTCTATTTTCGCCATTGATGTTTTCTGCATTAAAAGGATGTGATGTGAAAAATTCTCTCGTAAGGAGACAAATATTTTACCTCGAAGAAAGTTGCTAACACGACTAGGCCATCTTTGTAATTTGATGCATTGTCAATATTTCCGTAGTCAGAATTGTAAAACACCATATGCAATTCCATTGGAAAACTGAAAAATAAAGAAAACCATAAATCATCAAAGCAATGGTCGAAATATGTCAGAATTCTATCTCTCCTCTACCTGCAATCAGAGTACTTGCACGCATTTGAAGAGAATCAACCTAACTACGCAAGCTTCCAGAACTTTATGTCCACCTACCTTTCGTCCATTAAATAAATGTCCACCGCTATTTATGTCCACTAAACGTTAAGTTCAGTCTATATTAAGTCCACTTGATTTAATGTCCAACCATGAATATGTCCAAAATTGTCCAAATTGTGGACATGTTATGTCCACATTTTTTTCTTCTCATTTAAATGACAGGAACCACCTCAAAAATAAATGCATACTACTGCTACCTTCATTCTTAAAAACATTTCATTCATGAATCAAGTTGACGCGAAATAGTTGCTTAAAGCGTTGCGGCGCGGCAGGCAACCAACGTGACACGCGCATAGGCGCCTACAAACCTAACGGGATACTTCACGCGTTGCGCAATGCGTGAAGTATCCCGTTAGGTTTGTAGGCGCCAGAGCGCGTTCTGCGCTGCTAACACGCCGCTCCGCTCTGTGTTAGGCTCTAAAATTTAAACTCGCGGAGTCAGCGTTTTTCAACTCATGATTTTGAAATGTTTGCACTCTCTGCATTGATCATTCCCTTTTAAACTGATGAAAAAGAAATATGTACTACTGGAAAATATAATGTGTTTTTTGTAAATATAAGAGTAGTTCCGTGTCAAATTTAATGATTTCCAAAGCATTCAAATTTATTCTTTTATGTTTTGGTACTCTTAAGCCTAAATGCATAATTTTCTCTGATGTATTATTTTTTAAACATAAACTCAGCAACGTGGAATCTTGAAATTCTGTAAGTATTTTTTTTTTCATAAGCTGGAGTCAACTCACAAAGAGTTAAAAGGCGTTAAGTACTTTCGTTCTCTGTTGGAAAAATAAAACATTACAAAAAATTAGGCAACATGGAATGCATTTAAGCTGATTCCGCTCAAGACCGTCCACTTTACTTAATGAGTGAACTCGCGATGATATGGCTCCAGCGATTGTGTTTGCCTTGTTGCCATGTATGTCATTGCGTCGTCGCTTCTTCTTATCCAATCAGGTGCATGCTTTCAACCTGGGGAATATTGGCGTCACAGCAGATATAAATTGTAAAGAAACGCCCGAAAATTTTGGTTTGACCGCAGTGCGTTTTGCGTCCGCCTTTCGCCTCTGTACCGTAATTTTTTTTCTTCTTCCTCTTCTTTTTTGTGACTCTCATGAATTTTGATATTCAAAAGTTATTCTTACAAGTTTTCGAACTTGCAATTATCGTCGGTACTTACTTTTATTCATTTCAACCTATATTTTTATAATCTTACACAAAAAAAAGAAGTAGTGTTACCATTTTAGAGAACTTTAAAGAGCATTCATTACAGCACCAGAGAAAGGGCAATTTTTACGAAGTATTAGTAGCATTCACCAGAACGAAGAAGTCTTTAAAGAATTCTTTGAGAGGGATTTTAATGATTCCCAACTCCCAAAATTAAATGAAGGGAAGACAGACGGATTTAACTAGAATCAGCCTCAGCATATCAAACCTTGCCCAATTTTCTCTTATATTGTTTTATTTCTCAAAGATGAAACTAGGCAAGACTGAAAATTGCAATTTCATGAGCATATTCCCGATAAACTAGATATTCACAGATATCTTTAAGGCGTCAAGTATATATAGTTATTTAATACAAGAAAACAAGAGAAAAAAAATAAGAGGAAATTGGGCGCCATGAGAGGCAGTTAAACTGATGAGCCGTGATAAATATGCGTCCAAATAAGTTTAAGATTTTGAGGTAAAACAGTACCAAATCGGCCGTCAGACCCAAGAATAATACTGCCTTTTTGCTCTGGAGCGGTTTTTAATTTTCTCAGAGGATTACTAGAGCGGACCTCTAAAAAAAGTTCAATCATGGGATGATAATGTTAAATTTAATTCAAATTTGATACAATTTTTCTGTCTGGTGAATTATTTTTACATTCGTGAAACGCCTCCCCTAACCTCGAAAACAGCACTATTTTGGAGAAGACAACGAATATGACTTCCTTCTTCGAAAATTCAACTCGAATAAACCCCGAAAATCAACAATTTCCTGTCGTTGATTCGCAGATAAATGTAGATAACAAATTTTACACCATTGCTCCACCGAAGACGTCGAACTTTGAAGCGCCCATTGATGCTGGGAGCAACAACAATTCAAACAATATTTACTACCTCTCCCGACTATGGCTATTTAACTGCAATGCGCTCTCGTAACACCTGTGGGACATTAATACCATATTGCAGCGCATGAGGCTTCAAAAAACCCATCCGTCAATACACGTCAGAAATACCCTTGTCACTTTAAGCCTGCATGATATTATTCGATCCGAAACAGTGCAAATTTAACACTTGCAGTGTACAATTTTCTACACCAACAAATGGGTGCGTGGGGATTCCTGGACTGGAGGAGTATGTACAGATCGTTTCATTGAAACCTTAAGGGCCAATGGGACAGCTAACCTTTCCACACGATGTATCCGAAACTAGAATTCCTTTTTGACAATTGTAGCAATCCCAGTTTTCGTGTATATTACAGCAACCGGGCCGAGCAACGTCCAATAAATCAACTGAAATTCAAACATTGCAGTTATTGAGTATAACTGCATTTTCAAATGACCGCTTGCAAGCTGCACCTTATTTATTCCCTTGGTCCATGCCGCAGCTAACACCAGATTCTGCAAACTCATATTTCCTCTGAATAAATATTGGGTATTCGTGCAATATTTTCGGAGAGAATGGAACAAGTGATAGGTTTGCTGGAAGACGTGTACGATGCAGGACGAAATATTATCTGACAAAGAAATTGTAATTGGATGGTTTAAGAGGGTTACACAATTTTTTTAGTAATAAGTAGAGGGACAATTCGTATTAGTTGAAGGTTTTTTTGTAGTGATGAGCAGAGGCAGAGAGACACTTTGTACTGACCCAGAAAACGAAGTATAAAACAAAATACTGACTTTTTATACAATAAATAGCGTATTTTTGGCTTTCAATTTAGAATGAAAATGAGGAAGTTTTCTCAGACTTACCTATGATTATTGATGAGATCTTCACTTCCTATTGAGTCATTTGTCCCCCAATGAAAGTGCATTTGCTCAAAGAAGTATTCTTTCTGCAAAGGCCCTCCTTTTATCGATGCCGGGGAAGAGAAATTGTACTTCAGCATCACTATAAAAAATTGAATATCACTGAAATAAGTGGTTCTTCTATGATAAAATAAAACAAACATACATACACAGAGTCGCTTTTAGGGCGCTCTCTGGTGCTCTGCGACGCCTAGTTGCCCGAATACTCGGTCCTAAACAATCATTAAGCTTAAAATAAAGTAGATTTCAAAAAAGAGCTACATGCGCTTTAGATTATTATACCACCAACTTTACTTGAGATCAGATTTTTTTTTCTCAGAAACGCATATTCATTGCATGCATGAATATAATTGTATTGATTTCAGTTTTGAATGCAGAAGCAACAGATTCTTCTAAAGTCTTTTTTTTTTCTTTTTTTTACAAACTATTGAGTTTATTTGACAAATTTTTTTCAAAATCTTTGATGATCTACAATGACACGGTTGATGATATATTGATAATATGTTCCGTAATAGTAGCAGTTAAGATTTTCTACTCCTGTTTTAATAATCAAGGTGTTAACAAAAACAAAAACAGAAACTTTGATGCTTGCAATTTTAAAAGAATAATATTTACATAGAGAGACAATTGGAAAATATGTCCGAGAATGGTAATGGTTAATTGTCCATTATTTTGATGAGCAAGTAAAGTAAGACACATAACTTACAGCACTAAAAAATGAGATATGTGTGCCCAGAGTTCAGGTATCAAAATAATCGAGGAAATATTCTCGTAGGAAGCTCCTTCAAATTTGCAAACCGCAACAAGCGAAACATGATATCATCTTTACACCAACCACAACGCTATTACTCAACACGCGTTTGCTCAGAATACGTCAAACAGTGGTAGCAAAATAATTTATCATTCAATTTGTCTCGGGTGACCATCTTTAGCATGAATTTGAATGCATTTCTTCCTTTCTTTGGTTCTGGGGAGAAAAGAAATTAAATGCGCTTTTCTCTTTGAAGCATTGTGTCGCTCATACTCGTAAGATTTAATTCTTATCGATGCAGATTAATATAATAACAATGATTAGTTCCTCATGCTTACATCTAAATAGTGGCATGTAAGCAGTAGGTTATCATTGTAACATTTTTTTTTCTGGATTAGTCATTATGGCGCACGGTTATACACAGAACAGCGTCTAGCAGGACCTTGTCTCATTTGTCTATTTAGGAAGCGTTTTACATCGCACCATTTTACGCTTCATTCACTTTCACGCACATAAACCGATTGCAATTCCGCACTTTTTATGCATTGTAATTTTACATCGGTAAGTTCTATTGTGCGAGTCGGCAAATGATATGAGAAAGATTCAGAAAAATCAACATTGGCCTTATTTGACAATTTTTTCAACAGAATTGATGGATTCTTGATGAGAATCGGGTGAAAATACTTGATAATAGAAGAATGTTTGCTCGCAATTTATAGAGAATTGACAGGCAATCAGTAAAATTAAAATTCAATAGATAGTCCGTCCAATTCAGCCCTAATTCAATCGGTCAGTCTCAAAAATGCTCATGCGCCAAAAATCGAGGATTAAATAATTGACGATCTGTTATTGCTTCGGTATTAATGCATATCTTGTAGCAAAGTGACAAACAGAGAAAACTACTTTTATTCTACACAATTGACTATTAGAGAGGGAAAACAAATATTACAATTCGTCCATTTAACCTTGTAAAAGGCTCAACCACCAATTGGTTTTTTCGGGGTTTATTGCTCAAATTATAAGACGATTTCTGAAATAACTATAACCAAACTTTATATTGTAAATCTCTTTTATATGGATTTTCCTACTCTGAGACGTAGAACAGATCGATTAAGACGGCTTTTATTGATTTTCTCGTTCTTTCAATTTTGGGGATTGAGCCTTTCGTGGATTGGTCTGTTGAATCCCAATACAAATTGATAACCCAACCCTCATTATTTGGTGCAACTGCAGTTACCTGTGTGTCCGTTGTTGGTAATCATAGCCGAGGACGGTACTTCGTTGAAATTTGTGAACTCCAACGGAGGGAGGTAGACTCTCGTTACGAGACTTTCTTCGATGTCAATTGGTGACTGATACTTCCCGGAGCATGTTCCATACTGTTCCGACCATGAATTTGGCGCTGCAACAGAAAATTCCCCATTCTTTTCAAACGCTGACTTGCAGGAAGTGAAATTAAATTTAGGTTATTCTGTTCTTCATTAATGTTCTTAAGGCGATTCGATGGATGCCATATTTTATATCAGAACGCCATGCAATATATCGCATAGATTGGTTCCATTTTTTCAGTTACTCGTCATTTTTCTCGAATTCCGAGATCGCAATTTTGTTGCCCGGAGCCTAAAGAATTCACTTACCAATTTTCATAAGCAAATTTAGCGCATATTAAGGGCGTGGTTTTTTTAGAGGAAAAATATCGCATTCGACACTGATATCGAAACTGCACTCGAATGCGATATTTTTCCGCTGAAAAAACCACGCCTTTCATACGTTAAATTTGGTTGTCAAAATTGATATGTGAATTCTTTAGCCTCCTGGCAACAGAATTGCGATCTCATAATATGAGAAAAATGACGATTAGCTGAAAAAATGGGACCAATCGATGCGATATATTGCATGTCGTTCTGACACAAAATATGACGTCCATCGAATCACCTGGAGGTACATCAAATAATAAAATAAAGGGGTGTCCGGAAATGGAGGGGCAAGAGCCAGAGGGGCTAGACTACACTGCAGCGTTTCGGAGTTTTGCTGAACAACTTTTTTTTCAACTAGTGAATGATTTAAATGAAAAGTTCATAAAATTTTCGTCACATCGGAAATGAAATATACAAACAATTTCAAGAGAAACATTCCAACTGCTCTTGGGTAAATTAATACATTATCAAATGAAACTTCGCAACGTTGCGGTTCACTCAAGCCCCTCTAGCCCTCTACCCTTCCGACTGTGTTTTGAATCTAAGGAAGGTCAAAGAGATGCCTGATGGAGGGGAAAAGGCCAACTAGACGTTTGAAAACACTTGTAATTTTTGAAAATTCTAGAAAGAAGATAAGGGGCAAAAAATCAGTTTTTCATTAGAGTCAGAAAACATTGTAAGAATGTTGCATGTATTAACACTTTGTTCGATACAAAATAACGAAATGGTGTCCAAGTTTTTCATATAAAATAAAATCAAGAACTTTTAAATGAGATAGCATTTTCATTTCAAACAATAATTTGTGGGTGTCTTCGGTGCCATCATCAGATTCAAAAGCTCCGAATTACACGGCACTATCAAACAGATAATTTGCACTCCCAATTTCAAGGCAAAGCTTTTCTTATCACCTTAAAACTGATAAAAAAAAGTGTTGCCTTGAAAGGTATTTCTGTAGACGATCCCCGCGCCGTCGATTTTTGACCTCGATTTCCACTTTTCTGACCGTTGAGCACTGAGGAACAAGCTAAATATTAATACGCTATCTAATAGTCCCGAATGTAGCCTGATTGGATTTCATTTTGCAATAAGGAGCCACTATCTCTGGCTCTCCCATTAAAGCACTTATTTGCATAGAGAAACCAAATACATGGATGTTGTTTTTGAAATGAGCCAGCAATGGTTACTTATTGCAAAATGTAATCCAATTGAAGCTGAGGGGAATTAAAACAATCAGGGTTAAATATTGGAGTCGAAAACCATCGACAATGGGCTTTCTTCTCACAAGACCCCAGAGAAGGTGTTATTTTATATTATCTAGGAGTGTGCTATGTTTTTTTGAATGAATTGAGTTTTTTTACTTTTGGCTTTTCACTTCCCTTTCTTCTGGTACTGGGCTACCACTCCATAATCCCGTCATAAATCTCTAACTTATTTTATCCAACATTTTTGTGGAAACTGGTATGATCTGGCGTGAATTGAATCATATTTTGGGGAAAGGAACCAAAAATTCTTGCTCATTTTAGAAACAACATATTTGCTATTAATTAATTACTATGCAAGTAAGTAGGTATTTTTATGAGTGAACCAGAAATGGTTTGCATTTTGCAAAAAGGAACCGAGAGTATTCTAATGTTGCTGGGATTGTGCAACTTACATTCTTTGCAAAGAAATCACAGAAATCACGCAAAAAAAAAATTTGCAAAGGTAATTTTCGTCTTGAGGTCGCAGTTTATCGGGAGTGAAGATACAACTTGTTAAGATGCTCGGTTTATATTTGCGAGGTAAAAAAGTTGCACATTCTTGGCGACATTGGAATGCTCTTGGTTCCTCATTGCAGAATACCATCCAAATGAGGGTTCCTCGAGACAAAATACAGTCCATTTATTTTGGAAAGGGGGGGGGGGAGCTATGTGCCTGTCAGGTGCATGACACGGACCACTTAAGATCGGAACATTTGGAAAATTACGTTATGCTTTTTATGAGCGATCTGGAGTGAAGCTTCATCACAGACTCTAACTTCTCTAACATCCTGACTAGATTCTCTGCTTCAACATGCACTCACACTCACATGGAGGGGCAGTGTATTTATTACGCGCACACACAGTTGCATACAGGAACAGTGTATTTATTAATAGACTGATTTCTGAGCGGCTAAATGAAGTGGGAGCACAAAGGCCCTTCAACTCGTCTCACGATAAGGTGAATGAACCCGCACGATGTATCCTCTGCTAAAATCCCAACTGCTACTTTCATCTGGACGTATTTATGCTGAAAAGAACTATGTCGCAAACAAAACCTATGCATATAGCTCCTTTTAGCATAAACAAGTCCATCTGTGCTTCCAGGACTTTATTTCCATCTACCTTTCGTCCATTAAAGAAATCTCCACCGCTATTTATGTCCACTAAATGTTAAGTCCAGTCTTTATTAAGTCTACATGATTTAATGTCTAACCATGGATATGTTCGAAATTGTCCAAATTGTGGACATGTTATGTCCACATTTTTTTCTTCTCATTTAAATGACAGGAACCACCTTAAAAATAAATGCATACTATCACTAGTTAGTTAGTTAGTATGTTTTAAGACGTTCAACGTCACAGGCTATTTACGTCTTTACAGAGAATTTTGAAAATGGGAGTATATACGAAAATTTTTAAATTAAGAGAAGTGAAGAGTTCCTTCATTCTTAAAAACATTTCATCCATGAATCAAGTCATGAAAGAGTTAGTTAGTTAGAGAACAGACTCTAAGAGCAGATAAAAACATATGTTCAATTGTTCATGTGTACACTGTACGGATATGATAAGATGAAAACCAAAGCGGGAGCCTAGGAAACGCTCCAATGCCAAATTAAACATTCTTCAGTAACAGATGCAGTCAAAATTGAAAGTCCTCTTTAACTAGTTATTTCGTGCGCCTTCAATCTTGTAGGATACTGTGCAACGCCTCTGACGCAAAATAGTTGCTTAAAGCGTTGCGGCGCGGTAGGTAACAGCGTGACACGCGCATAGGCGCGTACAAACCTAACGGGATACTTCACGCGTCGCGCAATGCGTGAGGTACCCCGTTAGGTTTGTGGGCGCCAGTGCGCGTTCTGCGCTGCTATCACGCCGCTCCGCTCTGTGTTAGGCTCTAATATTTAAACTCGCGGAGTCAGCGTTCTTCAACTCATGATTTTGAAATGTTTGCACTCTCTGCATTGATTATTCCCTTTTAAACGGATGCAAAAGAAATATTTACTACTGGAAAATATAATATGGTTTTTATAAATATAATAGTTTGGAAAATTTTGGGGCATTTCTGACCGAGAATTTCAGCGCCTATTCCTCTTTTTGGGGAATGTTTGTAAAATGAAAGTCAAAAGTTACCCTCTTGTGACTTTGGGCAGTAATTCCTGTCTTCACATCGAATGCGTATTTTATCGTTGACCGTTAAAATGGTGACAAGAANGGGGGGGGGGGGGTATGTGGACCGAGTTCATCAGGTAGGAACTAACCCTCATTAAGTTGAAACTGAGAAAAAGAGGTTTAAAGTTTTATTCCTGCATATAGCTCAATGTAAGAAAGAAACTTGAACCCCTCTTTTCACAAACTAATTTATTTTTTTCGACTTTGAAATTTTGGCAGGAGAAAATAAACGACCAGTGGAATTCAGAGACACTCTTAGCTCAATTTTTTCGAAAATGTGGGTTGGTTTCTTTCTGATAAACTCGGTCCATGTGTCCTCCGACCATTATAATGCTACACTGAAAAAAAAAATCTCGGTGTATTTTTTAAGAAAAGGGTAAAATTACCGAGAATTCAGGGTTCTATTTGATCCCAGTTTTTTCTTGGTTAAATTACCATTCATGGAATTGGTAATTTTACCGAGAAATCTCGATAAAATTATTGAACTTTCTCGGCAATTAGACTGGATCTTGGTAAAAACGCCAATATTTTTTATCAACTGTGGTAGAATTACCGAGATAAAATGGCAAAGTTACCGGGAATTGATTATCAATAATAGTGGTATTCTTACCTGAAAAAAAAACAGTAAAAATACCGGTTTTTAGGTAAGCTTACCAGTCTGTCTTGGTGAAATTACCAATAATTGGTAAAAAAAGTGAGATGGTAAAGGTACCAACGGACCTTGGTAAAAACGCCGAGAATTTTTTTTCAGTGTATACCCTTGAGTTATGGCTTCTTCGGTAGTGGTCGACATGCCTAGATCGATGGAAAACTACTCAAATTGACTTCCCGTAGGAAAAGTGCTTTCATTGCACCTAGTTATTATGATTGAAGTAATAAACGGATGATTCAAAGAGCAATTAAATCTAGATTGGCAGTAAACTCCTACAATTCGCTAAGTGCCCAAATACTTGAAAATGATGATCGTTCAACTCATTTCGCAGATCGTTGCTGTTATGAAACGCGTGCCAGGCACCTCGATATCAGTGTTAGTTTCGATTTTTCAAGTGAGGTGTGTAAGTGGATTAAGAATATTAACGGAAATTTTATGGGTAATAAAATCAAAGACAATGGGCGTGATGATCTCGTTCCAGTTGTCTTCCGCGCCGTCAATTCAAATTTATTGCCTCCTGGTAATTTTATGATGAGGTCTTAAGTGCAGAGGCAAAAGCAAGTTGTCAGTTGAATCAAAAAATACGAATTGCTCATATTTTAGTTCGCGAAAGAAACATTAATTCGACGCTGAAGCTTGCAACTCAGCGTGCGAAACGCAACAGGTGAGGTGTGATCACACAGGCCAATGCCCCAAATTTCAGGTGATGACACACCTCTAGTGGAATCATAGATCGCGGTAGCTTCGGGTCAACACAAAAAGCAGTTGTAAAGTAGTGAACAAAACTGTGAATACAACTCAAAACCATGCTGCATTGTGTGTAGATTCATATCAAACTACCTAAAAGTCCATCTTACAAGTGAAGCATGTACAATCAAAAAGGCGTAACTTTTTGACGGAATGAGATATTAACGCCACTAAATGGTACTTTCTAGGCCATTAAAAAGATACGGACAAAAATACAAATTAAGGAGTTTAAGGTGTGTGGAGGTTTAATCCCCCAAAATTTTGAAAAAATTTCCAACTACTTAAGTAAAACTAAGAACAATGAATTCCCTCAAAGTTCGTTTGAGACTAACATAATTTGCCTCATTTCACATTATTAGTGCCCTCGCAAATAATTATGAAGGTACAAATGGGAACATTAATTTTTCAACACTCATTTGAAAATTTGATTTGTTCCATAGCAACGGTAATTTTGTAGGAAATCAGCATCGTTCATTAACTTTGATAGTTAACTACATTAAAAATAATTAATGAAAAGGCGCAATGCAGTAGAAATATGAACCTTTTTTTTTCCTGGTTGCACCAGTGGTTTTAGTGTTTAAAAGTTGGTGTTCATTTATTGCTGCTGTTTGCTTTAACGAACCCTGCAGTATCGAAAAACTATTTCATAACTCAGTTCACTCGTAAAGCGTTAGTTAACATTCACTTTTTTTCATGTTAATATTTTTTAATCCCATGCAACGTAGACCTTGAAGACGCATGGATGGAGATCCGCTATTTTTTATCACACTATACACTGGTGGAACTCATTAAAGTAATGAGAGTATGCACTTACGGATTTCATCCTCATTTGCTTCATATCCAAATTCTTTAGTTGTTGCCTTCCTGCCGTCATCAGCTGTAAGCCCTGAAACAGACAAAGTATAGGAACAAATAAGTAAACTTCAGATGAGGTCACACATCCAGTCACAACACAAGTTGTTTTTTATGACATTGCACTCGACATTCCGTGGAATTACACAAGAGGTAACAAGAGATAAAGTTGAGCCTCAAAGTCAATTTTTGATACAAATAAACTGCCCCAGTCGATTAGTGCAAATCAGCTGGTGAGAGACTCTTAAGCACATGTTTGTCAATGAAAAAAATGTTAACAGTTACTAGAGAGCGTGATGGTAAAGAAAGGGGGGGGGCTAATGCTAATTTATGAAAATTTGACCGAGGTGAACATTTTTATTTTACGCTAAGTGAATCAGTTGTTTTCAAAAGGGAACAGGTCTATTCCTCGATGAGTCTTAGTCAGTGGCGTGGCGTGCTTTGCGACCTATCGATATTTCCCCATTTGAGGCTGTGATAAATAATCGATTATTAAGGTGTTCGCTGCGAACACCCTGTTTATCGATACTTTTCCATAGGTTTAAGTGACCGAGCAATCGATGTATCGCAAAGCACGCCACGCCACTGGTCTTAGTTGGCAGGTCCTTATATGCAAGCTAAAGCTCATGCAGAAATGAACCTGTTCCCTTTTGAAAACAACTGATTCAAGTATCACGACGAGGATAAAACTTCACATCTCTTTTTCATGATTCCAAACTGATCCGGACTTATTTTTCTCTGCTGAATTTGCTCCTGATGATATGATATATAACTTTCAAAGAAAGAACTCTCCGATTTATCGCATCATTCTGACTTTTCTAAAGAGCTCGATTCACACAATGATATGCATCAAACGACTTCGTTTTGGATTCTAATTGCGCATCAGGGACTCGTAGGCAACTCTGATGCTTCCTCAAAGACTCAGTGGCGACGTAAGACCTGCCATGGTAAGGAAAAACCTCATAAGTACTGTCAGACTTTGCCAAAGTTCATCTGAAAAAATATTAATTTCCTAGAAGAGTTATTAATATTTTTTTTTTTTGAAACTTTCACACGAAATAAATTAAGTTCAGCCTGATCCTGCAAAAAATGCAAGTTAAATATGCATGAATTCTGAAGAAAATCTGATTTTTTCGTTGGCGGAAATTTTCCAACGATAGATTAATCATAGATCGTTTTTCCTAAGCACAGCAAAGATGATGGGTCGATGAGGGATATGCCTATTCTGTCATTCGAAGATAAAACGCCGTATGGACATTTGAATGTTGCCGAACTTCCCTCGATAAAATATTAATTTCTGAGGAAAGTAATGCAGATTCTTCTTTGAAATGTTCATATGCTTTCGATCGAATCGTACAACAAAGTCTCTGAAAAATTGGATGAAAAATAATCACAGATTTTCCTGAAAATCAATATCTCATCAGAAAAAATTTTGCAACGCCAGAATGCTCATACGATATTTTTCTTTAGCGCGTCAGTATTGTAGTTAGGATTCTAATCCAAGTCAATAATGATGACTCCTTTTAATCTTGGAGGGTTCCCGGTCACTTTAATCATAAACTGGACGCATTTCAATCAAAAGGAGTTATATCCATTCAAACATGAGCCCCAGGATCAATGAGAATGCATGCATGTTAGGGCTCATTTCAAAATGGATAAAGTTCCTTTTGATTTAAATCAGTCCAGGTGATTGAGCATCGGACATGACAAAGGAACCTCGACAAAGGAGCTTGAGATGTTGTGTAGTATTGTGCGTGCGTCCATCTCCATCTTATTCGTTTTCGTTATAATAGGGTAACACCAAGCTGGAAGAGGGAACTTCAAAACAGGGAGTTGAAGGCGCTCTACATTGTTTCCTCTCAGTAATAGTTCTTGGAAATCTTGTTTACCATTACCATTCATATGAGGCGATCGGAGGTCAAGTGGTGCAACTGCAATGCAGCTTGCACGGAAAAAAACACCTCGTGCGTGGGACCCGAAGTTTAGGTCATATGGATCTCTGAAGTTTTCGGATTGAGCATCTGAACACTTCAGGTCTAGCTGTCGAGGTTCGGATCACACATCTGAACCTTCAGTTCTTACATCTGAAGTGCTTCAGTTGTGAGAACCGAAGTTTTTCGGATGTGAAAACTGAAGCACTTCAGATGTAAGAACTGAAGGTTCAGTTGTGTGATCCGAACCTCGACAGCTAGACCTAAAGTGCTCAGATGCTCAATCTGAAAACTTCAGAGATCCATATGACCTAAACTTCGGGTCCCACGCACGAGGTTTTTTTTCTCCGTGTAGCAGAATTTCAATCGGTATGCTTATATTGATAAATTCACACATTTCATGCAATAGGTGAATTCACACCCGGACAATAACTTGATCGATCTCTGGACATTTTTCATGATTTATATGACGTCATTCAACGTAAACTTGATTCCGTTCTCAATCCCAGTCGGTGCTGATTCTTTTACGTCATCAGTTGCACCTGGAATATGCTCTCCACAATGGCGCATTGAGTGCATTGCTTAGACGTCTGTTGGAGCCATACTAGGCTGGATGAGAATCTGCAGAACAGTTGGAATGTGGGAGGTTTGCATTGGTTTGAAGCTTTGAATGAATACAAACTTGGAGCTTGAAGCTTGATGCACAAAGTCTGTCACTTTTTAACCCTCGGTCAATCGTCCGCTACAAAACAGGAGATCGCAGGACATTCCGATCAACTCGATACGTGTTCCATAGTGCTATCCTCATGAAAACGGCCGTATGAGCCTTTTACGCTGCCAAATTTCCCTCAATAAACACACATATTTTCAGGGAGGCTTGTGGATATGTTCCTTCCGATTTCTCAGATGATGTTCTTCTCACTCCAAATCTAAGCTATTAAAAATTCTGATGAAAAATATTCATGAATTTTCTTTCAAAAAATAAATATTTTATTGAAGGGAAATTTGATGACAATCAAATGGATTGCATTTTGCAAAAAGGAACCACTAGCATTGCAATGATGCTAAGATTGTGCAACTTCATTTTTTGCAATAAAATTGCGGAAATCGTGAAAAACTATGAAATTTAGATGGTAATTTTTGTCTTAAATTTACAGTTTTTAGCGAGTAAAATAGAAACTATCTATACTATAAGCTCCGAGACCTCCTAATTTTGCGAAACTGGTAACGCTTAGTTCCAGCGTTCTACCGGGCCGATTTTCATGATTGTTGCGGCTATCGACGGGCAATTGTCTCTAGATAAGCCAACTCTTTTCAGATTTTCAAAATATGGCCCAGGTTTTTTTATATTACGTGGTAAAGTTGCGAATTCTCCCATTTAAACAATGTAAATTTATACTTTTTGTCATAGTTCGTTTGAGCGTTCTACTGGGCCGATTTCCATGATTCTTAGATAAATCGACAGGTAATAGGCCCTAGATGAGCCCGCTGTAATCAGATTTTGGAAAAAGGACCCAGGTTTTTTTTAAAATCACGTTATAAAAGTGAGTAAATTTACAGAATGCTCCGGTACTGCTACCGCTATGCGCGGGAGGATGCGCAGTGGTCGAGGAGGTTGCGCAGTAGATGGGTAGCCTGCGCATCAGCTCTACACTTATCTACACAAGATTCGCACTGACATTCTCACCTTGAGCGGTGGCCGTGTCGTCTAAAACGTCGACTACGTCCACTTTGAACTTGGTGTGGGTTCAATCCCCGACCCCCGATATCTTAATTATTACCAATTACCTGACTACCATAGTTCATTGTTTTACAGCAATATTTCATCAAGCAGTCATTCCAAAACGCGTCCTTTAAATTTTAAAGTAATTTTATGTAAAGTTTAAAATTAAAGTATACCTCATATCGTAATTGTTTAGGGGAAAAATATAACTAACACTGATAGGAGGGTAAAAATAGGGCCGCGAAGCGGCCCATTGATGGCGCGAAGCGCCTTCAGGGGGTTGGGCCGCGTAGCGGACATGGGGCGTAGCCCCCTAGTTAATTGATAATCGAGGTTTTCCTCCAAGACAAAAGAAGTTGCACAATCTTAGCAACATTGCAATGCTAGTGGTTCCTTTTTGAAAAATGCAATCCAAATGTTCATACGGCGTTTTTCCTCAGCACGAGTGAGTAAATGTGATGAAGCCAGACAAAAAATACCAGTGAGGTGGAAAAAATATAACATGAGATAACTTCATCGCAGCTTAAAGGGGTTATCTCCGCATAATCTAGCGCAAGAGAACACCCAAAAATAAGAAAAAATGACTTCCTCAGAATGTTTCAACGTTAGAGGATGATAATTCGCGAAATTGAATAAACAAAGATAAAATTCACGGGCGAAATATCGAGCCGTAGAGACGATTGATTTTAAATGGTTATTACATCATTGATAGCAGAAAGTATGGCTTGGAATTTTGTGCAATTATTTTTGTGAGAATTATAGAGCGTTAAGAATATAAATCTATGTTTATGACTCCAAATTGGGGGTTTCGTTGTGTTGAATGGGTTAAATCGTCGCTCCTCTACGGGCGTATCTCGATTTTCGCATGAGCCCCAGGAAGCATGGCTTTATACGTAAAGCACGGTTCACATGGGGATTGAGATACGCCCTTACGTCAGAGGAGTGACGAAATCACCGCGTCTTAATAAGCCTTTTCCCTGACTTGGTCAAAAAGGTTGAGATTATGGGATGAGGATGAGATTAAGAAAGCATGGTGAACTATGAATTTATTTTTTTTTTTTTTCTTTATTCAAAATATAGAGAACTACAGGGTATTAACTCTAAACTATGAATGACCGCGCAGGTCTTTGTTTAGCTCTCATTTTATCTACTGAATAATATATTTAAAGCTAGTAAAAGGCCACCCTTAAAGGACTTCATTTACTATGAAGGAGACAATAAGAGTTTAAGACCGCTTTGCAAACCTTTGTAAGGGTGTCTGGGAGAGGGAAAGGTGGCATTGAATAGGAGAAAAAAGTGCAAAAAGTCACTGCCGCCATTTTTTGAACGCAAACCATGTGTGAACGAAATACAGCATACAAGATAGCAACCAAGTCCCGG